GCCCTTTTGGTAGGTTGCTTTTTCATTTTGTTGGTGGTTTCCTTTGCTATGCAGAAGCTTCTAGTTTGATGTAGTCCCACTTGTTTATTTTTGCTTTTGTTGCCTCTGCTTTTGATGTTAAATCCAAAAAATCTTTGCCAAGACCAATGTCAAGGAGCTTACCACTTTTGTTTTCTTCTAGGAGTTTTATGGTTTCAGGACTTATGTTCGTCGTTAATCCCTTTTGAGTTAATTTTTGTGCATGGTGGAAGATAGGGATGCAGTTTCATTCTTTTGCATGTGTCTGTCCAGTTTTCCCACCACCATTTATTGAAGAGACTGTCCTTTCCCCGTTGTATATTCCTGGCTCCTTTGTCATAAATTAATTGAGTTAATTCTGGGCTCTCTATTCCGTTCCATTGATCTATGTGTCTGTTTTTATGCCAATATCATACAGATCACTATAGCTTTGTCATATAGTTTGACATCAGGAAATGTCATGCCTCCAACTTTGTTTTTCTTTCTCAATATTGCTTCAGCTCTTCGGGTTTTTCTAAACTGTTCCATTCAAATTTTAGGATTCCATGCAAATTTTAGAATAGATTGTTCTATTTCTGTGAAAAATGCCTTTGGAATTTTGGTAGAGATTGTGTTGAATCTCTAGGTTGTTTTGGGAAGTATGAACATTTTAACAATATTAATTCTTCCAATCAATCAGCACTGAAATTTTTTTAAAAAGTATTTTCATGACGCTGGATATAATACTTATTTTTAAAAGCAGTAATATTTTAAATAGCACATGAATTGTAGCCTTAAAGGATGCCACAAATATTCTCACCTGGGTACTAAACAGGTAGTTCATATTATAATTTTATTTATTTATTTATTTTCCCCCAAAGCCCCACTAGATAGTTGTATGTCATAGCTGCACATCCTTCTAGTTGCTGTATGCGGGACGCGGCCTCAGCCTGGCCAGAGAAGCGGCGCGCTGGTGCACGCCCGGGATCCGAACCCCGGGCCGCCAGCAGCAGAACGCACACACTTAACCGCTAAGCCACAGGGCCGGCCCAGGTAGTTCATATTAGAAAATGAAATCTGAAGGGTAAGACAAAAAGAACTCATGCAAATGGAAATCCAGATGAAGTTTAGAAAAATGGGGGACTTTAGCTGCAAAAGATTATACACTCAATACTCCACCTGTTCACAATCTTCCTTTGGCCTCGTCTTTCCTCATCGTGAGTTCTGAGCAACTTAAGCCCATCTCTCTCTCTCTCTCTCTGTCTCTCTCATACTGTCTAGCGGAATTCCAGTCTCAGCCCTAGAAAACCTGCAGGACCTCCTAACTGCTGGAGACAGATGTCCTGCCAAGGTCAGGAGAGAATGTTCCCTATTCTCTTGCAGCTGCAAGAAATGCAGATGATTTCCTGCGTCAAAGACACTCTCCTTGCAACAGCTATTTCTAACAAAGGAATCTAGAAAGACACCAAAACTTCAGAGAATGTTGCCATGTCCTGTAAAATTAAACCTTGATCTTTAAAACTGCATTCTGATTGGTAATCTTACTAATTAATGTGTCAATAATGTGTGGTCTTGGTAATAATGTATTAATTAATCTTTCTGTCTTCCGCAAAGTATAAATTATTACGAATTTCGTTGGTTGAGCTAGAAGAACTAAATTTAAGTGCTTTGCACGCGCCCAGAACTGGTCCAACCCCCTTTCAGCGTTAATCATGTCATCCTGACAACAACCCCGTGACCTCAGTGTCATTATTTCCTCATTTTATACTCACGGACCTGCTCATCCTTCTTCCTGCTGTCCCTCTGAATCTGGGACTTGGGCCTCAGGTACCATTCTTGGTCAGGCTGTCCTGTTACGCATTCTCTTTTTTTTACTTTGGTTTCTGAAAGGCTTAAGAGCCTTGGTGATCTTCTCTTCCACTTACATTAATTTTAACAGAAGAAATGGAGGCATCTCAGGCCTCTCAACAGCCTGGTCACACATGACTCGTAGAGTAGGGGTCCATCTAGTTTATCATGAAAACCAAGTCACTTCTGACAGTGCAAGGGGGAGTCACTAGTAACAAGTAAGCTGGAACAATAGACCCCAACAGAGACCGTCTCCACAAACAGGGACACAGTGACTCATGGTGACTCTTGGCAAATCCCTTTGAGGCCTGGAGACCCTGACATCACCATGACAGGGTAGCTTCTATTTGCAGAAGAAACAAGTGAAAAAGGCAGACTGCCACTACTGTCTGCTGCTCCAAGCATGGCCCCAAGTGTCCCTTCCCAGAAGACAGAAGACATTGAGTAACAAAGGAAGAGAACTTGCAATGCTGGTCAAAGTCCCTGTGAGGAGTTCCTCTGGCATCTAGAAATTGTACCTACTTTCTCTCCAATGATTCTATCCTAGAAGAGAACGACTTGAGTGAGGTGAGAAAGTAGGGAGTGGATTTCCAACATTGAATGACCCCAGAGGGAGTAAAGGAATTATAAGAGGAGGTGATGACTGGACGATGATTTCTGCCCCAACGAAGGTAGGAGAAAAGTGGTCTGAACATCACATGCCCTCTTCTATGAAGCAGCCCCCCAGCACACCCATGACCGATGGCTGTGGAGGGTTGACAACTCTCCCTTCCCCAGCAGGTCTACTCCTAGGACCAAGAGAGCCAAGGCAGCTCAGGGACCCTGACCACCCACCCACAGGGAATCCACCTTTCCCAAGGAAGGAAGTTGTCTATGGAATATCTGGATGTTGCTTAGCATTGCCTTCATAAGAACCAAAAGCACAGGGAAATTCTTGACAGTTATCTGCCCTACAACTTTCATCTCATTATACCTATGAGAATTAAAATATGACCAAGAGCCATCACTCCTAATTTTGGCAGGATCTCATCTAAGACAATGGCTCCCACACTCTAGTGGAATCTTTGCTGACTTGTTTCATCCTGGGTCACTCCTCCTCTTTCGAATGTCCTACTCAAAATCCTCTAGTCTTGTAACAAATTGGGAGTCCTTCATCCTTCTTGTTCTCTGGGTTACTACTGGAGCACAAGTTCGCCGTCCTTCATGACTGTTGTTACCATCTTCCAACATCTCCACTAGCAAGTCTCCATGATGTGCTTGCATCAGTCTTGGAGATTCCTTCCCTAGTATCTCCAATACACTACTCACGTTCCTTGTCTCCCAGAAACACTTCAGGCACAAATCCTGAGCTGGTATTGTCTGGGCTGGGCCTTACTTGCCCTACGCTGTCCTCAGGCTCCAGCCCAGGGTCCCACTGTGAGAAGGATCAGATCTGTCCTCTGGGTCCCCCATTATCTCTGCCACACTAAACATCGTCGTTTCTTCTGTATGGAAATGCAACTGCTTTTACAATTTCTCTTTTGAATGAAGAGGTGGGAAGGGGGCAGGGAGTGAACCATGGACACCATACCCCTGTTGGCACCTGCATGCAATTTCTTCCCAAGATTATCCTAGTAAACTCAGATAATAAAGCCCAGTCCTGCTTTTCTTGTTGAAACAGCTGTTTTCTATCATCACATCCTCCCAGCATTCTTGTGCTGCACCCCAGCTTTCTCTAAATCCTTCCTGAATCTCCTATTTTTATAATTTAGCAGCCATTGGGCCATTTTCTGCTCATTTTATGGTATGTTATTTCTACATGTTGTTGCAAATTTCTACACTGCAGTGTTCCTAGGGTACAGCATCCTCCAAATATAACCTGCCGTTATGACCCTCGTAGCAACTGATGGTGAATGCACCTGAGTCTGGAGGACTCCCTTTTCCAGTGCTGAGTCCTCCCACGTGGGTGCTGGGAGTTTTATTTTCCTGGGTGGTCTATCTCCTTCCTTTTCTAGTCCTGTGCCCTGGGGTTCCAGCTTCCTCCTGAGCTGTCCCTTCAATGAAGCCTGTTCTACTTGTCCTTTTGGCCTGTGTTATTATATTTTTTAATCAAATCACAGCAAATGTCAGTACATTTTTGTGTGGGGGCAAAAACCCTGTCCCCACATGGAGTGAGACTGGGAACAGGGCAGAAAATCTGACTTGCTACATTCCTGAAAGGTACCAGATTGCACAATCTGGGAAAATTGGACATCTGTGAAGAATAGCCAATATTTTGGATGCTGTGTGCTTGCCAAGAGGAATTTCCTAAATTTCTTCTTTTTGCTTCACACCTGTGTTTCCATTGGTTCCCCTAGCAAAGTATCAGTATATATAGCACCAGCCACATCTCCCAGGCAGGCAGCACAGGAAGCTCAGCTCACCAGGAGCCCAGCGGGAAAAGACAGCCACAGGTGAGGTGCTAGAACTTTCCAGCAGCTTTCCTCTTTGGAGATTCTCTTTCCCCACCAGCATCCTTATGCTGCATCCCAGCTCTCTGCCTCCTTCCTGAGTCTACTGTTCTGACAATCAGAATTCCCCAATGTGAATATTTGGTGGGAGGGATTCTGTTGTATGCTTCTTCTGTGTGGAGTCAGTGACGGGTAGAGCAGGCTTCTGCAAATACTGTGGATGGTTTAACTCATCTCACATTACAGAGAGGTGTGTGGTCACAAAGTCCCCAAATGCCTCTCTGGGAACTTTCTCTACAGTGGGTTTCAGAGCTGATAGGGGGTGATTGAAATGGAAAGTGGTTTACTCTAGATCCCATTGCAATCTCTCATCTAGTAAATCACCAGGATTCCAATGAGACAAGGGAAATGGAGAACTGGGCTCTCCAAAATTCTATCTATCTATCTATCTATCTATCTATCTATCTATCTATCTATCTATCTGTCTATCTATCATCTGTCTCTCTTTCTCTCTATGTATATATATTTACATACATATGTGTGTATATATGTATATATATGTATATAGAGATGTAAATTTTAGATAGAGACATAGATGTAGATTAAATTGATGGTGGTTTATTTTGGAAATACAAGAATGGGTCACCATTACTCCCTGAAACATCCAAACCAAAATAAATCAAAAATGTATGTCATCCTTGTGTGTCTCCTCGACTCTGCAGCAGGATGAAGCTTTCCATCGGCATCCTTCTCTGCACCCTGGTCCTGGGCGTCAGCAGCCAAGGATTTTTTTCATTCCTCAGGGAAGCTGGTCAAGGTAAGGACCAAAGGATGGGGGTGGGGAGAGGCCGCAACTAACTGCCCCCAGGATTCACCTGAGCAGAGGCCACATGCCCACAGGGCAAAGGCCACAAGTGGGTAGATAAGGAGCTCGGTTTCCATGGTAGCAGTTCCCCAGGTGTTTTTTGTTTCAACTGAAATGTATTTGACATATAACATTGCTTAAATTTAAGGTGTACAACATTTGAATTTGACACATTTATATATTTTAATTTGATTGTCATTGTAGCAAAAATTAGCACATCTATCACGTTACATAATTATCCTTTCCTTTTAGTCGTTGGAATAATTCAGTTCCTGTCTCTCAACAAGTGTGATGATTATAACACAATATTGTTTATATTCACTGTACTGTGCATCAGATCTCTAGGGCTTATTTACCACTCATTGTTAGTTTGTACCCTTAAACAACATCTGTCCTGTCCCTCCAGCCCCAGGCCTTTCTGGGCAGGTTTTCACTCTTCTGTGGGGAGCCCCAGCCCAAGGTCATAAGATTTGGGCCCCAATTTTCAGCAGGAGTGAGGAGGAAAGCTGAATTCAGCGGTGCACGTTCCCTAAATATGCATGTGGCTCTCCTGCCGCCTAGTGGGGACTCAAGGACGGCTCGCGTCTATGTCTCAGGAGCCATGAAGTGGGTGCATCACAGGTGTGGGGTCTGTTCCCACTCCCCATCCGCTTAGTAATTACAACCAAAATTAGTGAGCTTTTAATACATCCCAGGCACTCTTCTAAGGGCTTTACATGGAGAATGAACTCGTTGTCATCCTCAGGCTTTTAATTCTTTTATCCTGTGATGTAGGTACCATTATCCTTTAAAAGGCAAACTGAGGCACAAAGAGATTCAGACGCCTAACAAAGTCCCAAAGCAGAGCAGGATTTAGCTCAGGTCGTCGTGCTACCCAGACCTGGTTATTAACCAGGTACCACACTGCCTCCCCAACAAGAGTATACCTGGGAGAGCAAGGGATTTGTGAACACACACCTGATCTTATCTGAGCAAATGGCCAAGAGTGGGGATGTGTGTCTCTGGAAGACAACTCTGTAGGGCTCCTCTCCCCACAATAAAAGGCACAATGAATTCCTGATGACGGTTCTAGTGGGGCTGAGACCTGGCCAGGAAACCGAGAGCAAGAGATATTTACCTCACTAGCCATAGTAAGGTGGCAAATATTTGTTCATTTCACAAAATTATTTTGTGTTATTTTTTTTCTCATAGTTAGTGATTAATTGTTTTAAGAGTTTGCAGTTAATCCTCTCTAAATCTCCCAGACCCAGCAAAAAATGTCTTTTCCTCTCTTAGGTCACTGTTTCTCAAAGGGTTGTTCTAGGACTACTCACATGAAATCCCCTGGGTCTGGGCACTTTGTGAAATGCAGACACCCAGGTCCACACACTCCCCTCCCTGAATCACAGTCTCTGGGCTGAGCTGGAATCTGGCCTTTACCAATCCCCTCGGGTGATGTTTGTGCACTAAAGGCTGAGAACCACTCCCTCGGGTTCTGCCCCCTAAGGGACAAAATGTCTCAGGGATTTTGGAAGGACTTTTTATGCAAGTCTGGACTCCACAGATCTATTTAAATCAGTAAGTGGGAGGGAATAAGTACAGTAAGAAAGTCATAGCTCTCAACACAACTATCATCTAAATACCAGGAATAATAAAGACATAAAATGAAGATAAGTTATCTCATGGGGGTATTACATAAACTAAGATTACAGCTCTAGGTTAGGTTATTCTCTTTGTCCTAATCAGTTATTATAAATCTTTGCCATTTTATTCTAACTTGATCAGATTTCTTCCGTCCATAACTCCCTGCTCCTCATCTTGGTTGAGTATCTTGACTTTTTTATCCCACCCTCCCCAAGGACCAGGGAAGTGATGTTATATTGAGCACCTGCAATGTTCTAGAAGTTATACCTGTATCTTCTCAGTCCTTCTGCATAACCACCTGAGAGAGGCCCCGCTCCTCCACTTCACTGGGGAAGACAGTTGCCTTTAGAGCTGGTGGTCAGTTGCCCTTTGTCTGCATCTGATCACCCAGGTTCTTTAAAGCTCTCCTAGGGACTCGCCTTTATCGCCTGCTGATTGAATTCTGACATTCGTCCAGGTGCAAATGCGCCCGGACGTTCAGATGTACTCAGGACTGAGTGGTCCTCACGCTGCCCACAGGGATGAAGTTCTCCCGTGGCAAGGTTGGGTGCACCATGGGTTCCCAGCCTCCCTCAGAGTCGCTTTTGTTCTCAGGCTCTGGTCAGAGGGTTCCCTGCATCTTTCCAGGTAGAGGCTCATTGTACAACCACACATCCCCTCAGGACCATCCCACCTCTTCCTCACACGCATCACACACAGCCCAAAACAAAGTAGCAACAGAACTTGGAATGAGACAGAATAAAACTTGCACCTGGTCTGATTCTCATCACATTAACCAGGGAGTGAAAAGTAAAGAGTGTTCATCTCAAGCCATATCATCTCCAAGGGCTTTGTAAAGGTCAAAATCTCAGAATCAGTGGGAGGAAAATTTCTTATTTCTCTACTTTGCCAAGATGTGATCACCTTCTTCTCATCATTTTCTTTCCCTTCCAGGGGCTAAAGACATGTGGAGAGCCTACTCTGACATGAGAGAAGCCAATTACAAAGATTCTGACAAATACTTCCATGCCCGCGGGAACTATGATGCTGCAAAAAGGGGCCCTGGGGGCGAATGGGCTGCTAAAGTGATCAGGTGACTGGGGTCCTAGGGGTGTGGGGGTGGGTGGGCAGAGCTGGGCTGCCTTGGACAGCAGGAGGGGCCACGGCCTGGAGAAGTTTCCTCTGGAGGCTGAGGCCCCTCCTCCTGTGGCCCACCCTTCCCCTCTGTGCCCAGTGTGGGGTCTGAGTGGTGATAGAGCCAGAGCAGGGCTGGTGGGATTGGGCGATTCCCAGCCTCCTCTCTGGTGCTGTTCACCCAGCACCAGGGGCATCAGCGGGGCTGAGTGGGCTGTGCCTGGGCAGCCTCAGTGTTTTAGCCCCTCTCTCCTGGGCTCCTCTCAGAGCCATCCCTGGGAAAGAGGACAGACAGGGAGGGTGGGGCTGTTGCTCATCAGCCCCAGATTAATCTCCTACCTGTCCTCCTCCATTCCAGCGATGCCAGAGAGGGTTCTCAGAGATTCACAGACCTTTTCAGGCATGGAGACAGCGGCCATGGAGCGGCAGACTCGAGGGCTGACCAGGCTGCCAATGAATGGGGCCGGAGTGGCAAAGACCCCAATCACTTCAGACCTGCTGGCCTGCCTGACAAGTACTGAGCTTTCCCTTCTCTCTGCTCTCAGGAGACGGGGCTGTGAGCCCCCTGAGGGCTGGGACACCGAGTTATTGAGTTCTATGTCCACAAAAGCCAGTAGAGGGCACATAATTAGTGTCTAATAAATGTTTAAGAGATTGAATTTGTTGAAAACTGTGTGTTATTCTTCTGTCTAAGGATTTCCCGTTTGTTCCCTAGGGTTGATGGATGGACACCCACGTGATGGTCGAGTCTGTGCCTGTGGGTGTGGGTGTAGGGGAGACAATCTCAGCGTCATACAAGACAGACTCCCTCACCAACCCTTCCCTGAATCAGACCCATTCCCCGCTGCAGCCCCTCTGGTTACATTGGTGCTATTTCCAGGTCCTTCCATGTCCAGGCCTCCTCACTCTCTCTCAGTTGTGTCCTGTCTCCTTCCCTGCCCCCAGGGTCTAGTCCCTTTAGTTTTGTTTCTCAGTGGTCTCTGTCTGGAGGCAGGAGACACAACCATGGGAGGAGTGAACCATGGAAACTTGCTCCAGAAACTCCCACCTTGGTCTTCTGTTCATTACCCAGGAACACCTACAAATCCAATTATTAACCAATTTCTGTCCATGTCAGCCAAGAAGTGCCTCCAGAACAGTTTCCCTCCACCTTATGTTCATCCCTTACACAAAAGTTCCCAGAAACAAAACATGTCAAGAAGGGCTAGTGACAACATGTAGATGACATGCCGGCAGACCTTGTATTGCAGTGGATATGTTGTGTGTCCTGAGAGGAGGTCATTTTCCCTTCCTGAGCCCTCTCCAACAGAGGGGAGCCAGCAGCATGTTATGTCTTATTGAGGAAAACAGAGTCAATAATGAAAAGGATTTGGGTCTGTGAGAGCACAGGAATTATGGGTGACTCTATAAATCATGAATTCCTAGGTCAACCAAGAATCTTCACATAAAAATTTGTACACCAATGTTCACTGCAACATTATTCAAAATAGCCAAAAAGTAGAAGCAAGAAAAACAGTTATCGATGAATGGGTGTTTAAACAAAATGTGGTAAATTCATACAACGGAATATTATTCAGCCGTAAAAGGAATGAAGTACTGATACAGGCTACAACACAGATAAACCTTGAAAACATTATGCTAAATAAAAGAAGTCAGACACAAGAGGCCACATGTTATATGATTTTATTTATATGAAATGTCCAGAATTGACAAATCCAAAGAGAAAGAAAGAAGATTAGTAGCTATCGGGGTCTAGAAGGAGCGGAATGAGGAAAGACTGCTAGAGGATATGAGGTATCTTTCTGGGATGATGAAAATGTTCCGGAATTACATACAGGTGAAGACGGCACAACCTTGTGAATATACTAAAAACCCACTGAATTGTATACTTTAATAGGGTGAATTTTATAATATGTGAATTGTATCTCAAGTAATAAATTGTATGAGAACAAATATTTATGTAATAGACTAAGGTCCAGGGGAAAAAAAGAAGAGGGCATTCATTAAATAATGTGTGCCAAAGCCCTAAAAGAGAGTACTCTGCAGTCATTTAAGATAATATCCATATCAGGTAGGAGAGTTTCTAACAGTTCTGTTTAGTATTATCTTGATAAGACAACAAAAGAATCAGTTGTTTATCTTATGCACGGGGAATGAGGACTATAGTGAAATTGCCTCAGCTCCATCCACTGGGAGCCAGAAAAGAAAAGCAACTGTCCAAAGATTCTAAAGATTATTAATTCTAAAGATTATTATTATCATTATCTCCTTATGAAAGAAGAAAAGTAGAACTCATGCTAAGTTTCCTGTGAGATATTAATTATGTTTTGGTTAAATAATAAAAACTAGGGATTCCCAAGACTGGCCAGAATAATATGTGAGTAATAATAATAGTCATAATGGCTAACATTTCTTGAACTTGCGCTATTCTTACTGGGTCACAACTACTCTAGGATGTAGATCATTTTCAGATAAGGACACCTGGAACAGAGACGGAATCACTTGCTCAGGGTCACAGAGCCAGAGAGAGGCAACGCCAGGATCTGAACCCAGGCATGTAGCTTGAGGCTCTTCCCTTACCCTGCACTCCTTCCATAAGTATGAGTATTGATAAATAATAGTGAGACTCCCCAGTCCTCTGAGGAGACTCACAGGTAACAGCCACTGAGAGAAAAGCCTCCATCGCTGATGGAACTGTTGTGGGGAGAGATGGAGGCAAGACCCAGCCCCATCCTGAGGGCAGGAACTCAGCAGGGAGGCACATGGACAGCCCCAGCATGGCCACAGCCTGGACTCTGCTGGACATTTCATCCGCCCCATTCAGGTGGTGCCAAGTCCCAACCCACCCCCTCCTGCTCTGCCGGACGGTGCTGGGGAGCCCATTGCAGCCAAGGTGTGGTCCAGGAAGAGCTCCATCCTGGGATGGAGAATGCCTGCACAGGATGTGGCCAGTTCCAGGGTCAGGGCAGGGGGACAAGAGGACAGGAGTTGGTGTTACTTGCTTTTCATATTTACATCACTCACAAAATAGGCCACTTCTTTTTTTCTTGAAGTTCATGGTCTTAAGGGGCTCAAAATGGTAGAGCGCCAGTTGGTGTACCCTCTTTGGGCACCAGGTTGCCTGGACCCCTAGGTTGGGCTGTCCCCTGGGTAACCCTGGGCTTCTTTGGTCTCTCACTATGGGGAAGTGTGGATGTCCATTCTCCCCTATGCCCCAGATGGTAGTTGCGGGGTTGCCTAGAGATTAGAGATTGAGGATCTTTCAGTACTTTCTACACCAAGCCATGAGTTAGGCTGCATCTCCATGTAGGGAGCTTGGGGGCTCTGATATGGGGACCTGGGGACATCAGAGTGGGGAAAGGGTGAGAAAGTGAGTTCTGTTGGGAGAGAGACCACCCAGCCCGTGATGATGGCTGAGAATCTACTGCTTCTTACCTAACGGACACTTAACTTGGATGACAGACTAACTCTAGGTGATAAAGCTTCAGAGAACAGAAGAATCCTCCCACCTCATCCCCTCCCCACCCCACCTCCTCCCCACAGTTCTTAGCCTAGGTTCCTAGGTATTTTATTTGGAAACGATCCCAGGGAGCAGAAGTGAGAGACCGGAGAGGAACACGGGGAAAGAGCAAGGCCAATATAAGGACGGATTACAGAGCAGCCACGAGTCAGAGCCTCACAGCTGGAGCTCAGTCCCCTGGGACCTTCTGAGGACTGCAGTGAAATTGCCTCAGCTCCATGCACCGGGAGCCAGAAAAGAAATGCAACAGTCAACTGGCTTCCATCTCCATTGGTCAAGGCTGGGCCCTCCAATGTCAACTTTCCCTGTATTTCTTGGTTGTGCACATGTGAGTGCCCAGTGGGTTTCCCCTGGGCATGAAGTGGAAGGTCCGCAGAGCAGATCCAAAGCAAGGCGCTGCCAGGGTGACCCTGCGTGAGATGGATCAAAACCACGAGCAGCTCACTGCCGTAGCAGTGGCTGGAGAAGGGGAGGGCGGAGGGTCTGAAGCAGCGCAGAAGAGTATCAGATACCCCACGCCCCGGTGCTTGTCTAAAGCGTGTGAGAAACACAGGCTCCTCAAGACATGGACACAGTAAGTTCACTCCAGAATGAAGGACTGATTGGCTCTTAGACTGAGAATAAGAGAGAGAAGAGGAAAATACACTGGTTATCCAAGAAGGGGAGAGAGCAGGGGCAATTGGGAAGGACAGAGAAGGGTAAACTACCGTGGACTTGGGAAATGAACCAGCTGTGAACCTGAGATCCACAGGGAGAGATGTCACCCCCGGGGGACAGGGTCTGGAGCACAGTGCTCCATAAGACACTGGGAGTGCTGCAGGGCTTCAATAGGTTAGGGACATGGTGGCATTCCTACCAACAAGATTATGTCTGCTACACACCACACAATATTTTGCTTAAAATAACTTGCTTTTGTTTTCTTACAACAAGTAGTTTGTAGAAGTTGAGGTAAAATTAGCATGTAGGATGACCATTACAGTTAGGGGATCCAAGGAATACACGAGCCACAGGGTCCCCAGTGGAGACAAGCCCCGAGGGCAATGACCAGCAACTTTGTTAGCTGGGGTTTGGCCCCAAACCTCAAAACCGAACTCTAGTGAGCCCAGGCTGCATTGCCAAGTCTGGTTGGAATTCTGAGTGTCTTCTTCTCCTCTAATTTCAAACTCAGTCTCCAATTCCCCAGCTCATAAATGCCATTCAACCAGCACCCACTCCCATGGGAGGAGGGCAACCAGAGATGCTGAGCTTCTGTTTGACCCAGCTGGAGTCCAGTTCCCAGGCACACCTCACAGAAAGCTGTTTCTCCAAAATTATTTTGGCCTAAATAAACTCAGAACAGGATATGAGACTTGCTCTACTTCGCTTCCTTTAGTTAGAGTAAAGCTAAATTGCTGTAACAAAAATATAGAAGCTTAAGGAATATGGAAATTTATGACTCACTTAATGGTTTGTCTTGAGTGATCCAGCTGCCAGGGGCCTCGGCTCATGCTGTCTCTCAGATTGCTTCCACGTGGCTGCCCTCCCATCCCGTAGACTGAGCCTTGCTACTCACAGGTGATCAATCCAAGGACCAGAAGCCTCAGCGTCACCTGGGATCTTGTCAGAAATGCACACTCTCAGGCTCCACCTCAGAGCTACTGTGGCAGCCAGGACCAGTTACATAACGTGTGGGTACAATGTGTAGGAGAGGAAGAGAATTCCTCTACCCTCTGGGTCCTTCTGACTGCACTACAAATTAAATTGACATGAGACAGAATAACTGGAGAAAATCAAACAAACCTTTATTACTTGTATACATGAGAGAAACCCAGGAAAAACTGAGCAACTCACCAGAATGGCTGAAGCTGCCAGTTTAAATATCATCTTCAGCTAAAGATAAAGGAGGATTGTGGGTAGTGATTTGGGACTTCAAAGGGGAAGAAGGCAATTTATCTGGAAATGGAAAAGCAAATACTCAGTAGATAAGAATGGGCTTGGCAAGGACCCTCACAGTCTGCCCAGTGTTATCTATGGTGATGGCCTGTCCTGGGGACAGGCCTTCCATCTCAAATTCTTTTTGGTAGTTAGAGAGAAGATCAAAGTTTCTTTCAGTCTTTTGTTCTGTCAAGGCAAAGAGACACAATTTGGGGTGGCCAATTTTGATCGCCCACAGTCTCACCTTTGAAACTTTAAGAAGTTTCAGAGTCCTTTGAAACTTTAAGAAGTTTCATAGTCTAAAAGCTGAGTTGGTAGATTGTTCAATCTCACTGAATACATTTCTTAGCCCTGATAATAGATTAGTCTAGTTAAATTCATTTTAGAAGGTGGTGATGCAGGTGGGCTCCCAAAGTTAGGCCTATATTATGGAAGCAAGCAATCAGGCATTTAATAAGAAGCATTTCTATGGAAACAAAAAGAAAAACAAAGTTAATGGTTGGAGCAAATTATAAACCAGTTTCTGAGTTCAGAGGATAGCCAGTTAAGAAGATTTCCAGGTGTCAGGGTCGAAGCATCTTTTGCAGCTTAAGATGTCTCTGATGATGTCACCTGGTGTTCAGGTATCATTTTGAGTGGCTTACATAGCAACAAGGATGCTATCATGATCTTTCTTAAGTTTATATCAAACTATCTTGCTTCAGTTTGCAGGGCTTTAGGAAAATGGGTGGTTTCAGTTCTCAATGATTTCAAATAAAAATGATGGAAAAAATTGAAAATGTTAGTTTGGAGATTTGTAGCCAGATATTTCATTAGACTAGAAGAAATCAGGATCCAGTCCAGTTTACAGGTAGAAAACAAAAACCTCAAAGACAATTAACAGAACTAGGATCTAACATCCACAAATGTATATTGTAATTTCTACTGAAATATAATTTTTCTCTCTAAAATCACCCTAATTTTTACCAAAGATAGCCAAGTTAAGACTAATTGGTTTGCAAAATAAGTCTAGTTTTAGTAAATTTGGCCCAATCATTTACATAAGTACAGCAAGAATAGCAATTGATCATATAGGCTCTTTTAAATCTGTTTTTCTAGAACTTTTTATAAGGAATCTCAGATTGAACTTAAGGGCCTCTCAAGGCCAGGAAATCCAAGGACTTATCAGACAAAGTCTGTAATACCTACAGATTTGGGTGAATTGTTCTCTTATTTTGAGGTTCCCCAAAATATTGAGGTTCCAGGCACCTGCCAGATAAGTAACCTTCCTTAATTACCCAGTAAGGTTGCTGGGAACACTGTAAACAAGGTACCAGGCCAATGTTTCCAAGTGGCTTTATTCCATATAGTCTAATCTTTGTCTCTCAAAAGCTGTCTGGTCACATCTGAGTCTATGCATGTTTCTCTCAAATATGACTTTCCAGTTAAAACTTTGGTAATATAACCCACGTTTCCAATTGTGTCCTGTTATAAGGAGAACAGATTCTTATTGAACTTATGCAAATAACTATATGGCCATGAAATAAGAATACTCACTGAGAGTTTCCAAATTCTGGGGGGATCAGGTAGAGAGAAAAAGATAAATGTTTCAATTCTGCTTACAAAATTATAATTTACCAAATTGCTATAAGTCATAGTTAACTTAAGAGAAAAGACAAAAAGCTTTCCTTAAATCTGAAAAAACAAAACATTTTTAAAAATCAGCAATATTTCAAACAAAAGTCGTAAAAATTTGTAATCATCTTCATCAGTTCATTCAGTCCCATGTAACCAACTTTTGATCTTGATCTTTTGTTAGCAGTTTCATGAAGTCATTAGTTTCTCCATTAGAGTTCTGTAATTTCTTACCCAGTTCCGTTTTATAATCTGAAAGTTTATCAGAAACCTGTATTCTAAAGTAAGTGTCAGAGTCCTTTCCATGAATCTCTCTGAAGATGAAACATTTGCAAAAGCATCAGAGTAAACCAACAACTGTCTGTAAATGCCAAAAGACTTAACAATGACAATTGTCAAAGAAACTTGGTTATTTCTGTGACATACAACACTTTAAGATAATAAGTAGAATTATGACTGACAAACAGGACATCAGAATTCTAGGAACGTTATATAATTTTTAAAACACTTACATCAATAACATTTACCCACACAATATCCTAGGTCCCTATGAAACAATGCTTAGTTATCCTTTAACCATGTTGACAAGTAAATATTTTTAGGTGACTGCAGAAGATTAAATAGCTGTAAGAAAAGCCTTAGCACCTGTGATTAAAGACCTGATAAAAAAATATAGGAAATTTATTTTGATAAAACACAGAATCCTTACCCTTTTGGTAGACTACTCAAAGAAAAAAGCCTTTCATAATCTGTTTTCCAAGAGTAGACTAAAAGTTTAAGAAAATTACCCTTTTAAGAGAGAGGGGAAAAAAATAAATTCTAATTTTGCATTAGTTTACTTTGGATATTAAAACTTATTTACTTAATTAGATTCATCTTAATCTTAGCCAACTTGACCATGCAAAACTCTTTTCTCAGGGTTCTTCCTCCACAAACCTTCTATAACTTTCTTTTTTTACACTTAGAATTTGTCCCATGCCTTCTTTTTTCCTCCTAGTACTGTGAGGACAAATTTTTCTTTCTTAACCAAACAAAAAATATATTTTCAATCTTTATACCTTCTTTACTGAAAACATACATTTTACTTTCCTTGAATACAAACATATTTTCCTTAATTAATTTTTAGCAGCTTTAATCACATATTAGAATTTTAACCCTTAGAACCCCCAACTTCTAAGTAAAAACTAAGTAAGCAATTATAAATTTTCTTTTACTTTAGCATTCTGTGGCTTGACAAATTTGTAAATACTTTTTATAATTTTAGAAACATGTTACTTTGTAGTACAATCTTTTAAGAAAACACAAGACACGTTTACCAATAGACTCAAAACACCTTTTAGTTTTTCTGTAATAAGAATCCAAAAGTAGATAAGCTTATATTTAGTAATTAATGTCTAATATTTTATCTTATTTAGAAATAATGTAGATATTCAATGAATTTTCCATCATTTAATTGAGCAAAACTTCAAAATTTCAAGTTACTAAAGAGATTTTGGAAGTTATTAGATATATGTCATCAAATATAATTATTGCTTTATCTATAAACTCTTATATCACTTACATCTAAATTGTTTTCTCCCAACAATTATGTTGAGATTATCCAAGAAAACTTCATGAGACGTTGGACAAAATTAGCTATCATATTAAGTTATTAAGTTGACAGATTTGTAACAGGGATAACATGAGCTTATTTGACAAGTAAACCCAGGCTGCTTGTCTGCATCATATCCAATGCCGATAACTCTGAGGACATGCCCATTTTAAACAAACAAACTTAAATAAGCTTTTATTTACCAAAGATATTTCATATCACGTTCACTTGAAAGACACGTAAGTGCTTACTTTAAGTCACTTGAACAGAAGTCTTAATTTTGGCCATACCATCTAAAGGTAAAATATCACACACATGTAACATACATAGAGACACACATGAACACGCAGGTAGACACAGACGGAGACATTAAATTTTTGTTCTGAATCAGGGGCAATACAAAACTCACTAGTTTCTGAGAAACATTTGCATTTCAAAGAATGGTTCTTAGGTCCTAGAGAAGATGGGAGCAGAAAATCTATATCATAAAGGCACAGAGAAGCAGTCAAATTTTCTTCAAGATGGAGTTTCTGGGGCATATTTGTCTTATCAGTTTCAAAAGAAAAGTGAACTTGTCTCAATCTTTTGTCTCAATCAATATATAGGAGCATTTTGAGGAACAGGGGAGGATTTGGGATTGGCAAAAGACAAGTCAACTTTGAACCGCTTTCTGGAGCCATACTTCCCGTCTTGCAGAGATTTGTAAGACAAAGACAGTTGCTTTCAGTTCCCCAAAGAACTGGATTACAGCTTGACAAAAGAGGCTGATTCATCCCTCCAGCTACACCTTTCCAATTGCTTCTTTATATCAGGGAAATTTTTAACTTGAGAGATGAATCAAAGATTTGTATGTTCTAAAACATTCAGGACAATGTATCAAACTTTTAAAAGTCTGCATAAAGCATTTAACAAAGGCCCCCTTTTTTTTCTAAGTGCACAATTTAACCCTAGACCAATTTACCTGGGGGGCTTTTATTGTCTTTTTTATTAGCACCTGATATTAGCCTCTAGTTTTTATCTCATACTGTGTGGGTTCAAGCAACTCTATTGGTTTCCCTTTAGTGTGTTTAATTAACACTGTGTGAAGGGCAGATTTATATGCTGTCTTACAATCAGGCAGGGGAAACATTACCTTTCCCCAGTGAGACACAATGTCTATCCCCACAATACAATCTATAATACAATGAGGCAAAAAGAGAGACAATCACTTCACATAAAAGCCCGTAAATATATCAATTTTCCTACAAAATTTCATCTGAATTCCCTCAACTCTTACATCTCTAATCATAATTTTCATGAGGACTTTATCTATAGGTCTTGGCCTTATAATTTTGGACAGGCGAAGTATTTCTAGTCAGACATTTTAAAACATACTCAGCCAAAGATGAGATAACTTCTTTATATAAAATTAGCTCAAACATTCCAACCTTCATAATCTTATCAACATTTATACTTTTATATTTTCTCAATTTAATTGTACCCTGAGTCAGGGTCTTTTTTTTGTTTTTGTTTTTTGTGAGGAAGATTAGCCCTGAGCTAACATCCATTGCCAATCCTCCTCCTCGTTTTTTTTCCCTCTTTTTCTCCCCAAAGCCCCAGTAAATAGTTGTATGTCATAGTTGCACATCCTTCTAGTTGCTGTATGTGGGACGCCACCTCAGTATGGCGGGACAAGCGGTGCGTCGGTGCACGCCCAGGATCTGAACCCTGCCCGCCAGTAACAGAGCGCACGCACTTAACTGCCGGCCCCTGAGTCAGGGTCTTAAGCCTAATCATTAAGTTTAAAGGCTAGGCCTCTATTTTTCTGAACCCTCTGGGAAGAACTACCAAGTGGGAACTTTCCAGGCCTCTCTCGGGATCCATTAGACCAGGGTTAACTAGACACTCCAGGCTTGTCATCTCCACACAGCAGCACCGTGTTGTAATCCTGGAGTATTTTCAGGAAGTTTAGTGGTATCCAGATTTCTACTACATGAAGGGGTGGGAAAAGTGGGTTTGAACTCTGACTTCAGTCTCAAGTTACTTCTCCTGACATGAGGGGAGATTTCAGCCCTTTGTTCTGCCAAAAAATGGTTAAGATGGTAATTTTATGTTATCTGTAATTTACAATTGAAAAAAAAAGTATACATGTAGAACTTCCTGAAGGGACAGAACCCTGGTGGGATCTCAGCAGGTGGCACTGGGGCAAAGGGCACGTCAGGATTGAACAGTGCACAGCCAGAGGACCAAGTGCAGAACATCTAAGGAACAGAGAACCCAGGATGAGAGGCAAACTTGGGCTCTGAAAAAGAGTTTGGAAACAAGCCATAGAGGACCTTGAATGCCAAGCTCAAGGATTTGGGCTTTATTCTGAAGGCAGAGGGGAGCCACCAAAAGTTTCTGATTGGGGAGAGGCACGATTAAGGCTGTGCCTCAAGGGGACGAGGATTCTGATAACGAATCTCCAATTAACTTCCCAGGAGACAGAGACAATCACTCTCTCCTAGGGTCCTTGGTTCATCTGTGAACTAGGATAACTCGACATCTGAATCTGGGAACAACGTGGGGGGAGGCAAGTTGAAAGAGGTTAAATTCATCCCCAAAACTACAAAGTCCAGATCTGGGGCAGGACCCCTGGGATCCATATCCTTCACAAGGTCTGGGGTGATTCTGATGGGTGGCAGTTTGTGAATCTCCTGACTGGTGGTGCCTGACAGGCTGCTGACATTTTCATGTGCTGAGACTAGTGGTGGAGTGGGGAGGGCAGGGTTTAAAGATGAGGAAAGAACGGTCTCTGAAACGGCTGCAACTGTCTAGGCAAGAAGTAATGAGAAGGTGGGCTGGAGGCAATAGAGAATGGGAAAAAAATAACTAATGGAAACCCCACCAACATAGAATAGAGAGGATTTACCTCGTAACCGGAAGTGAGGGTTGAGGAGTGGGAAGAGGCAAGGCTGACTACACGGTTTTGAGCCTGGACCAAGGCAGTGACAAATTTAACACATGCAAGGAAGGAAATTATTAACTTCAGTCTTGGTCTTCCTGCTCTGATTCTAATAACCAGTTCACATGGGTCTGACCACTACTGGGTGAAAGATGGGTCAAACCTCTCAAACAATAGCTAACACTTATTACCCATAGACCATGTCATGGGCGCTGCACTCTACACTTCAGTCTCATTTAACTGTCAATACCAGGGAGCTCTAACCCCAGTCTACATGCTGCACGCTCATCGTCTCATTTAATCTTCAAACTACCTAAGTGAGTGCTATTACAGCCCCATTTTACAGATGAGGAAACTGAGACAGAGAAACAGAGTAACCTCTCCAAGGTCATTGAGAAAAAGAGCAGACATTCAAAGTCAGACAGTCTGCCTGAGAACCCAGGCTCTCAGCTGCTGTGCTCCCCTGTAGCCCTGTTACACAGGGTCAGGTCTGGACACAAAGGTGAGTGAGGCAACCATGAATCACAGTCTGTGCAGCATTTTCAAGCAAGTGAAGGATACGAGTTGTATTTAAAAACACTCCCTAATACCCGAGCAGAATGTTCAAATTCAAATGTTTGACTGTAGGGGATTTTTGGTTTTTTGCTTGGTTTGCCTTGGATAATAAATTCAGATGATGTGATTCTTTTTGCAATACTAGAAAAGTCTCTGTGCCCTTTTGGTAATGAGGATTGCTGTAACACGCCCTAGAAAGCTCTGTCGGGAAGTGATTGCACGCTTGTGCAGTTTAGGCCATCTCCTGAGATTTCCTCTGGGTCCTCTTTCGCACGGTCATTGTGCAATGACAGAAGCTGACGGACGGTGAAGGGAGGGCTCTCGCTCTTTATCTTAGCACAGACTCACATTCATCACGATCTGATACAGCCAAAATCCAGGTGATGCTGGTGGGAAAGTGGAGGTGGGTATGATCCTCCCAATCAAGAGGTGAGGAGGCTGAAGCCTAATTAGCAGGACAGAGACTTAAACACGTGTGTCCATGCCTTACAGCTAAGTCTGATTACACAGGTCCTGTGGAGCTCCCTCACGCAATTCCACCTCATCTCTTACTGCCTGTTTCGACGTTTGTTCTGTGCCTTTTATGCCTGTCATGTCAGATTTACTCAAGCCAGACTTGCCTGCGCTCAGCTGGAAAGGATGTATTTCTCTTATGGGCGGTGGTAGATAAAAAAATGTGGAATCCCCTTCTCCTATCACTGTTTTGTCAAGAGCCGCAATCTGAAAAGAGTAGACACTTTTCATTCTTTTACTTATCCAATATGTCACCAGGTTCATTTTGGTTATTTTGTTTCCTTTCCAGGCACTTGGGACTTGTTGGGAGCCTACTGGGACATGAGAGAAGCCAATTACCAACATTCAGCCAGATACTTCCATGCCCTGGCGGGAGCTATGATGCTGCACAAAGGGGCCCTGGGGGCGTCTGGGCTGCTAAAGTGATCAGGTGACTCGGGTCCTGGGGAGGCCAGTGAGGGGGGAGCAGAGCTGTCTGTCTCCACAGAGTCAGGAGGGCCCGTGGCCCCTCCTCCTCCTGCCCCTGCTCCTGGGGTCTGGGTTGCCAGCAGAGCCAGAGCAGGGCTGGTGTGGACATGTCTCCCTCACCCCTAAAGAGAAAGTGAGGGGTCTCTACAGAACTCTGTTGCACGGCATAGAAAGGGCCAGCTGATTTAGGCCTTTGCCCAAGAGGGTGCATATTTTAGCCCCTCCTTCCTGAGCATGGGTTCTTACAGCCCCCTCTGAAAGTCATTCCTTGGGTGGAAGGGGAGTAGGGAATTGGGAGGTGGAGCTGTCTAGAGTGACCCAGGAGATAATCTCCTCCCTCCTTTCCTTCCAGCAATGTCAGGGAATATCTTCAAGGACTCTTAAACCAGGATTACTTTGGAAGCAGCAGCTATGGGTTGCGGGACTTGAAGTCCAATCAGAAAGCTGAGGAATGGGGCCGCAGTGGCAATGACCCCGAGCACTTCCGACCTGCTGGCCTGGCTGAGAAATACCGAGCTCCCAGCTCCCTCTGCTGTCACGGGACGAGGCTGTGAGCCACACACCTCTCCCCGCCACACACCTCTCCCCGCAAACAGGGCACAGTGTTGCTGAGCTTTGTGTCCCCAGGGCACCCAGCAGTGCCCAATACATGTTTCTCAAATTGAATTTGGTTTTTTTGTGTGTTTTTTTCTTAAGATATTTTTTATTGAGGTACCATTGGTTTGTAACATTATATAAATTTTGGGTGTGTATCATTATATTTCGATTTCTGTGTGGATTACATAACGTCCACCACCCAAAGACTAGTTACAATCCATCACCACACACATGTGCCTTATCACCCTTTTCACCCTCTGCCCTACCCCCTTCCCCTCTGGTAACCACCAATCCAACCTCTGTCTCTATGTCTTTGTTTGTTGTTGTTTTTATCTTCTATTTATGACTGAGATCATACAGTATTTGACTTTCTCCCTTTGACTTACTTCGCTTAACATAATAGGTTATGTTAAGGTCCATCCCTGTTGTCACAAATGATAAGATTTCATTTTGTTTTATGGCTGAGTGGTATTCCATTGTGTATATTTACCATATCTTCTTTATCTGTTCATCCCTTGATGGGCACTTAGGTTGCTTCCAAGTCTTGGCTATTGTGAATAACGCTGCAATAAACGTAGGGGCACCATGTATCTTTATGCATTTGTGTCTTCGTGTTCTCTGGATAAATGCCCAGCAGTGGAATAGCTGGATCATAGGGTAGTTTTATTCTTAATTTTTTGAGGAATCTCCATACTGTTTTCCAGAGTGGCTGCACCAGTTTATACTCCAACCAGCAGTGTATGAGAGTTCCCTTCTCTCCACATCCTCTCCAACACTTGTTTCCTGTCTTGTTAATTATAGCCATTCTGACATGTGTGAGGTGATAGCTCATCGTAGTTCTGATTTGCATTTCCCTGATAATTAGGGATATTGAACATCTTTTCATGTGCCTGTTGGCCATCTGTATATCTTCTTTGGAGAAATGTCTGTTCAGATCTTTTGCCCATTTTTTAATTGCATTGCTAGTTTTTTTGTTGTTGAGATGTATGTGTTCTTTAATATTTTGGATATTGGTTGATGGAAACTGGAATCTTTGAGACAGACTCTCTGGAAGGATGGCCATCTTGTGCCATATGGAAGATAAGTGGCACTGTGGAGGTTCAGACTGTGAATGTGGGGCCCAGGGACCCCCACCTGAACTGTAACTATGCCATGTCCTCATGTGACCCTACTGAGCCCCTCTTGCCCTTAGTGGCCCCAGTTTCTCCTCCTGAGTAAGCTGAGGTGGCAGAGCATTGGCTGTCATGCTGGGCTCCTCAATGGCTGGAGGCGTAGCTGTGGCACAAATTCTGGGCAGCCCCCAGCCCCCACTTCTTCTTCCGTCATGACCAGGCCTCCCTGGTTATTTTGTTGCTGTGCCCAGGCCTCTCTGTATCCAGATTCTTCACTGCCCAATCAGTTGCATCCTGCCCCTCTCTGCCTCCAGGCCTTGTCCTCTCGTGACCTCTTTGCAATTTTGGGGGAAGCCTAATCCCAGGAAGCCTACCCTGGAAACTTCCATCTTGAACTGAAGCTTATTTCTCGTCAACATCAGAGCCTACTCCTGACTCAATTGTTAACCAGTCCCTGCTCATTTTACCTAAGGAATAGTTCTCATATTCATTTCAGTTATCTTGAGTCTCACTATCTTTAGTTCAGTTAAACTCTACCTCCAGTTCTAGAGGGGCAGTCAGATGTGGGTAGACTTAAACACACTTTAATAAGAGCATCAACAGAAGCACACACTGATGACAATACTAACTGCTGTGGTGCAGGAGGCTGGTGAACAGTAATTGGAGTAGCTTGTTTTCTTTCATTGCAAACGCCACAATGTGCTCTATACTTTACAGCCCTTCTTTGATTTAAGCCACAGAGAAAGGCTTTGCAGTTCTCAGTAGGAGCAACTGGAGTTTTCCCTTTAAATAATATGTTTACTATAACTTCTGGCATAGAATCTTATAAAAGTTAAGAACATTCCCTTTGATGTGCAGTTTTCTAAAGGATTTTTTTAAGCCATAAATATGTCTTGAGCTTTATAAAATGATTTTTTTGATCAATTGAGGTAATATTATTTTTCTCCTTTAGGCTATCAATATGGTGAATTACCTTGATTGATGTAATGTTGACCTATTTTTGCATTTCAAGAATAAAACACACTCAATCATGAGGCAGTTTTAATACTCAGAATTGGTTAGTTAATACTATATTTTATTTTGAATTATTGTGCCCTTGAAAGCAAAATGGGACTATTGTTTTATTTTCTTGTATTGCCCATCTCTGGTTTTGAATCAAGATTACTCTAACATCTTTAAATGGGCTGGACAACTTCATTCTTTATCTGTTTTCTACAACAACTTGTATAACATAGAATTAACTGTCCCCTGAGATTTTAGCAGACTCACCTGAAAAACCATCTGGTCTCAGTGGGAGATATTGGGGAGGAAAGATCTTTGACAATCACTTCAATTTATCTTATACTTATGTGGCTTCCTAAAGATGTCTATGCCTCTTGCATCAAAAAGATGTCTGTCTTACTCTGATGCTTTGAGTGTGTTATTCCATCTGCCTTAACAAATGACGTGTCATCATGAGTTGATTAAATTGAGATCTGAGAACAGTGACTCCACATTCAGCCCAAACTTCAACCAGGAAAGGGGAACTCAGATTAACCTCATTTGGGTCTTTATGAGGAGTCTGTCTGCCTCTGAGAACTGGTTCTAACCGGCTCAGAATCATGTTGCTGAAGAGTTTCTTGCTGAGAAACGCTATAGTCATTGGAAGGTAGAATAATTGTGGGAGTGTTGTGTTGTGTCGTAGTTATTGCCGTTGTTGACTGCTGTTCTATGTCTTCTCCCAGAAGTCACTGCGCGCACACCCAGGAAACGCAGGTGTAGTCTCACCTGTGAGCCATCAGCAGTTGGCTCAGAGGAGAAACACTGTGGATCTGTTCTCTTAAATGACCGTTTTTGGGTTTGATAGTCGCGTTAGACTTGTATATGATTCTAGGAAAGTCGGTCATCTTTCTCTACGACACTTGTGGTCCAGTGGAGAGCATTGTCCCACACTTCTGGACCTGGGGCAGAGGGAGGAGCCATGCAGAGCAGAAACCACCCACTGCCTTAGCAGGGTGTCTACCCCAAGAAGAATCTGGGAGCTGCTGCCCTCAACAGATAAATGTAGAGGTGAAAGTGCTGGTCTTAGGAAGCTCAGAGCTGCTGTGTAAACGTGTTTTCCTTTCTGGTGTATGCATCCCCCTCTCCCCACCAATGTGTGTTTTCTTGGGGAGAAAATGCGGCCATATAATCAACAGCATACACAAGAATTTAATAATTTCTTCAGTTGTTTGAATGTGATGTTCTCTTTTAATCTCCCTGAGTGAATTGAAGAATAGGGGGTGAGGAATCCAGCCTTTTTGGTGCTGAAGCTGTGTATTTGTAGTAGCTGCCCATTCCTCAAGTGTTGGTTTGTGCCTAGAAGGACAAAGGAAAGGGTTTGTGGAACTTGGGACTGAAAGGAGTAGTCCCAGGCATGTGCTGGGAATTGTTTACAGTTGGCTGGAAGAAAAATATAAAGTCCTGACTTAGAGTGTTTGTCAGTTTCCACAGTGTAAATACTCCCACCATGGCTCATTTCACATGACCAGTGACATAACACTCAGGTCACAAAATCCCTGAAAATTTGACAATGGCTCTCCTGAGCTGGTCTGAGCCTCTGCAGCACACCACAGAGCAGTCCACCTACAAGGAGTAGAGATGACCAGCTGTACATTTGAATCTAAGCTGAGAGTTTCAAAGATTCTCCAGGAGAAAAAAAGAAGCACAACAAAACTGCTAATCCTTTGCAAAAGTGCTCACTTTTTAAGAAAATTCTCAAGCTTAAGAGAAAAATGAAGGTAGAGCTCTGACAACGCCTGCATTGATAGCTGAGCCATAAATGACATACTCTGTACTAAGAGCAAACACATTAAATGGGTTATAGAAATTGGTCATCAGAGCACTGAATAAGATAGTGGTCTACTGTAAAAGATAGTTCCAAATGGAAGAAAAAACTACGACAAAGTTAAGAATTAGTGTTCATCAAAAGATACCATAAGAAACGTTAAAAAAAAAAAAAAGGCAAAGTTTACTGGAGACCTTTTGTGGTTGCTAGGATTATAACTCCTTATTCTAAAAATTAATAGACAAATGGAAAAAATAACACATTTAAAGAGAATTAGTGCATGTCAGAAAAAAATATAATTTTGTTAAGTTATGAGTTTGTTAAATATAAAACCAAATACATTTACTTCCGTAAAGAGACTGAAAATAGAGGGACAATTAAAGCCACAAACTGGGGGAATATATTTGCAACATGCATAATCAAAGAGGCCTTGTATCAAGTGTGTAAAGAACTCTTACTAATCAATAAAAAAAGACAAAAGAAATGAGTAGATATTTCACAGAAGAGGAAGTACAAATGGCTCATCAACATACAAAAATGGTGAATATGATTAATAACCAGGAAAGCACAAATTTAAACTATAATGTGACACTATTTATCACTCACCAACTAGACATAAAAACAAGTCTGGCCTAGAATGTGGAGCAGGGGCCACTCATCCATTGCTTGTGGGAACATAAACTAGTGCACGCATTTTGGAAAAACAACCTGGCATTATCAACTCAAGTTCAACACCTCATATTCTATTCCAGTCCTGAGTCTGTGCCCATAGGAACTCTTGTGCCTGGACATGGGTACAAGATGGTTAGAAGCAACACTGTTTGTATAGCAAAAAAGAAACAACCAAATGTCAAAATAAGCTGTGATATACATATATATTCATTCTGTGGAAGAGTATTCAGCACTGAAAATGAAAGAAGGACTACAACAGACAGCAACATGCCCATATCTAAGGACATATCATTGAGCAAAATCAGAAAGTGACCAGTGAATCCAGACAGTATGATTCTGTTTACAGAAAGGTCAAAAACAGGCAAAG